GCAAGATAGAAAAGGCAGAGATGATTTTCTTTTTTTTTCCTTTTTTTTCTTTTTTTTTTTTTTTTTGCGCTCATTGTAGAGTGAAAGGAAAGTACCCATTTAGCCTTTGTCTCTGTCCCTTTAATTTTCTCATTCACTGCACACCTCTTCCAGATTCATTCTTTTTTTTTTTCCCCTGCCTTTAAATATTTTATGGGCAGAGGGCTTATAATATGTATTGTCACGGCAGTTGTCTCTAGAGGTCAGCAATGAGTTTCATAATGAGATGCGAACCAGTGACTCTGTAAAACCCATTTCAGGTTATAAATGGCATGTTTTATTGAATCTAGTGTTAAAGGTTGTTAACTTATCAATTGGTGATGGCCAGGGTTAAACAAGCTTCAACACGAGCCCTCTCATGTTAGGAACCTGACAGGGTAACGTTCTTTACCACCCTTTTCTTTCCAGCACCATGTTTGTGTTCTGCACCCATTTTACTGTGGCTGCCCTGCAGTTTCAGCTCTCAAGACCTCCTTCCAATCTCACATTAGTTGTGCGTGAATGTAACTCTATGGACTACACCAGAGTTACTCCTGGTTTACAGAAGAGAATGTGGCCTGCATAGTTTAGGGGTAGAAACAAATGCAGCCTTTGGGCCTCCATAAAAATCCTGCATTACCCCAGAAGACTCTTCGTCAACCTAAAAAATGTTTATGGAGGCACAAAGAGACAGCAAATACATTAGACATATATACCTTTTGTTGTACCACAACATGCTGCTTTATTGCAGCAGGTTTATTTGCTTTATGATGGGAGAGCACGAGCAGCCCAGAGCTGCCCACGCTATCCTGCCACCCCTAGCAGGCATTTTTTGGGTTTGGGGGTCCTGGTCCTGCGTGCCTCAGGAAGTCCTATGCAGGATTGGGCCCCTCAAGCCCAGAAAGTGGGGCAGTCTCTGGAAGCAGGAAAAGATGGGGTTCCCTACTTCAAGAGACTCGTCTCAGAGATTGCCCGGGCACATCTCTGCAAGCAAGGAATCCCAGTTTTCCCCACAGGGAAAGCTGCGACACTCCGGTGTCAGTCCTGGGTCTCATCCTGCGGACTACACTGAAGTGTCAAACTCATTGTAGTGCAGTCCCAGGGCTCAGACTGTCAATCAACCAATTGCAGTCTGAGCCCCGATGCCACGTACTGCACAGCTGATCCCCTTCATTTGGCGACGTTTGTTTCTAACCTTGGTCAGGAAGTCATGGACCGTCACAGTTGGCACAAGAGGAAGATTCTTAATTTCTTTGCGAATGTAACACTAGCAGATCTGTAGCATTTATTCCCTCGTAGAAGTGGATTGATTGTGATACGGTGACCACTCTGGGTAAATGATGGTGGCCACTGTATTGCGAAGAACTCTTGTGTTATGAACTTGATCAAATTAGCTTCCGCGCTAAAAAGATCCCCACGCATTAGAATCATGTCATTATCAAAATCAGAGATGCAACTACATATCTTCTGAGTCTGTTTCGATACTACAAAATTAAGTGATGTATCAGTACTGGAAGAAAGGCAGGTAGATTTCCTGTCCAGTTCAGAGTTTGGTTGGTTTGTTTTATTTTCCATTGCTGCATATTCTCCAGAGCATTGGCCATTTGAAATAACCCAGGTATTGGTAAATCTTGCATTTCCCCAGAAGACTCGTCTTCAACCTAATGAACCTTAATAGGTGCATAGAATGTCAAGAAATACCTGTGACCACTCAGGCCTAAATTTCCTTTGCTTATTGCTCCTAGTTATATATTTATACATTCACCTAAACAATTCCTTTCCACATTTGGCTTTTTATCTTTCAGCTGCTTTGCTTAATGAAGACATAATGCATGTAATGTGATCATTTTAGCAAGCTACGCCCCTTCTTCATGTTTCATTTTTCTCACAATGGGAGAAGGTACAATGAGTTAAGTCATCTACAGTGCACAGAGTATTGCTGATGACAGACTAAAAATTAGCATCATTTAAAGGAGATAGTGCATGACGTGGATTCTCTTTTTCTATAAATTGGATGAAACCAGAGTTGTGGCAGACAAGTTCTGGACAGTTAGACTTGATTTGGGAAAGAAATGGTTCAAAGAGAATGGAATTGTTAAAACAGAAGCAGTTTATGCATCCTAGTGACTACATCTGCCTCGTGGCTTCTGTCTTTTCCTTAGGGCATAGCAGGGAATGAAAAGGAAGAGCTTTTTCACACAGAACAAGGAATTTATTGATTTGTGGGTCCAAGCTACATTCTGAACTTTGAGCAGATTTTTATGGAAGACCCAGGGCCTTGTCACCTGTTCACTTGCAACAGTTGGAAATCACTGGAATGTGTGACCTATTAAAGCTAGTACATGTTGGGAGATAACGCTCACCTGAATGGGCGCAGCAATGCCACAAGGCATTTAACGTGAGCTAAATTGTTTGAGTGTGTGTCTGCTTGCATTTTAACTGCCGTTAATAAGTGTTAAATTGAATGTGTGACACCACCCTCACGCTAATTCTCTTTTCTGGCTAACGAATCCAGCAGACATTGGCAACTAAACACCACCACCAAAAACAACACATGATAGTCAGTTTCTCTCTGTTTCTAAATAGACATTTGACATCATTGCACAGTTCCCATTTTCTGCTTAATTGTTTCTGTTTCCCAATCTCCTACTTAGCATCTTTTCTTTTCTAATAGGATCTGAGTAGTAGCTGATGGTTTTAAGTAACCTGTGACCCACAAGTATCCAGCCACTACACAGAATGCATAGCCCATCCAATATGCCCCATTTGACATATAGGCTAGGGGCAGACGTTCAAAAAGCATGAGCCTGAATTGATTCAATCTTTGCAGGTTAGTCTAACCTGGCTATGCTGACCTGGTTTGTAACTGTACAGACATCTCCTCTGGACTGAAGAAATGCAGACACATGCCTTCAGTGGCTCAGGCTATAAGCCACGGGAGCGCTATAGTGGCCCTCCCTTCCCTTTCATACTGCTGAGCCAAGCAGGGCATGGCCAGGCCCCAGAAGGATGCTCTGATTAGGGAGGTGTCCTCCCCCTCGCCCCCCCCGCCCCACTGCTCCTGACCAGTGAGGGAGCCAGCAAGGAGCTGTACAGCATTTAGTTACATAGGGAGTAACAACGCATTTAGCACCCCATCAAGAAAACAAAAGCCTCTCTCATTAGTTCAAACTCTTCTTAAACAACTTTTTCCAAGGAAGGAGTGGGGGGACATTACCATCTAACCTGTTCATTAGCTCCAAAAAGCCCTAAGTGGACACTACTATCCTGTCAGCCTTTTCCTGTCTGCCTTACACAGACACCTCTCAGCATTAGCTAGCATACCACATGCTGGCTATGTCCTTGCTGTGGGAGAGGGGAGGGGGGAATCCCCGCTTGAGCAGCAAGTGTCAGGGGGCAGGGGAGAGTGGAGCAAGGGGAAGCCAGGCAGACACTGCTGTGCCTGCGGAGCTCCAACCAGGGAGCAGAGGGATGGGGCCAGCCTGTTCTCTGAGCAGAGAGACCCACCCAGGGTTGCAAAGCATCTGGGATGCTGGGGGACTCTGGTTTAAGTTAAAGCAGGAAGGGGTCTGGGACAGACATTACATAAACTGGTTTGACCCAAATCAGTTAAATCTGATACTGCATTCAACCAGATTTATCTGAAAGTGGTTTCAGCCATTTTCAAACTAGTTAATGTGCACTGAACATCTGTTCTGCTACAGGTTTAAACCAGTTTCTGATCACTTAAACCGGTTTATGTGTAATGTCTGTCCCTAGCCATAGAGGATTCACTGTAGAAAGAAAAGTCTGTGGCCCTGATCTTGCCTTGAACTGTAAGTGGTTAGACGCTTCCAAACATTCAGAGCCTCACTCAAGTCATTAAGTCTCTATGCAGGCCTCTTTGTCTTTCCCTGTAAAACAATTTGCAAGTTTAAGGCTTAAAATGAACATTAAGAGATGATTGTTGGGTGCAGTCAGCAATGTGTCCATTGGGATGGAACAATGGTAGCACTGTGGTCAGTGGGATTGCTCTGCAGATACTTTCTAACCATTGAAGAACTGGTGCCACTAATACAATGGTAGAAATATGGGGGAGTCTGCAAGGAATGGTGTAAGAAATGCAACACTTTGTAGTAATTTAATCTCTTTAGTGTTTTCAAATCCAAATCTGTGTTCCTACTAGGGACTGAGTAGTGCGGTATCCACTCTGGAAGGCAAAGCCTTTGCCATTCCAGTGCTAAGCTGTATAATATTGTTGTGTACAGCGCAGCATGCAAAGCCATACATAGGAGTTTTCCTCTCTTTTGGCATTTCCTTCGAGAAACAGCTCAAAGAAGAAAAGTGCGTTAGGGCTTTTTATTGCAGCCAGGGTAGTAACTCCATATAAAAGGCAGTTTTATGAACAAGCAATTTAAAGTATATTGAAGAGAAGGTCAAATACTAAACAAGCAAGAGCTATAGGAAGTACAGAACTCTCTCCCTTTGTTCCGGAAGAAATAATCACATACCTATCAATCACGAGGAAAAGTTCATTTCTTAAGCCAAACTCCTTCAAGTCATGTAGGTTTCCCCTGCTGCCTGGCAAATCTTAAATTACATTAAAATGCTGTCTTGGTTCTGTGGTAGTTCACAAACTCAAGAAAAGGAAAGTCAAAAGTCAGTAAAACAGAAACCAAGCATGTCATAAACTAGTGAAGGGTGTAACTTAAGAGTCTTCTGAAACTAGATACAAGAAATTAAAGTTTATATGAGTCCTGTGGACCTAATGATTTGGGGATTTTTTTCAGCTTGCTAGTTATAAAATCCTCCTTTAACATTATGCTTCCATTTAAAAGCCAATATTATGGTATTATTTTAAATTTATATCATTCTTCCTGTTTAAGATTGATCATGTATCCTGTTAATCTCCTCAGCAGCTGAACTCAGGAGTGCCAGTAGAGTACTTGATTTTTGTAGCTATCCAACCTACCTTACTTTCTTTTCATTTATATTTTTAGATGCATCATCCCATTCAGATGAAACCTGCAGACAGTGAAAAGTCCAATGGTACGTGATTAACCCATTTCCTATTTAATGTGCATGTCTCTCTTCATTAAAAAAAATGCAAGATGTAGCTTATGCTTGGTTCTCTGTATAGTGAGAATTCTTTAAGAACGTTTCCCTACAGCTAAAAAAAAGTTGACCTGTTCTGAACCCCTTATCTATACCTTAAATAATGGAGGAAATATTCTGTGAAGCTGCTCTTTCCTCATTTTCTTGTACCCGCTCTGTCACAGTCTTGTTGCATATGCCTTTTGTTTGCATCTCACTGTAGTTGTTGTAAAGTTTCTTAACAATCAAGTGAACTCAGGAGCACCTGATGCTAGATAACCCTCTATGATGAAGGTAACATGGATTGGAAAGAGAAGCCCCACAGTCATAAAGCATTTCAACACCTAATGGAACTTAAACAGCTGCTTCCAGTTAAGCATGCCCATAAATGCCCCCCCTGCATGCAGGGGTTTTTTCTGCATATGGAGCAAATTCCTTGCATGAATCATATTTTATGTATAGTACTCTAAACCACTCTAAAATAAATGTTATACAAACAATAATAGCTGTTGAAAATCCAGCTTCTGGACTAAATGAATGTGTATGACTTGTAAAATATACAACATGTTAAATCTGTAAAATGTCTTGGTTTGCATATTCAGAGAATAATATAATATAATGGTATTCCTGCATTACTCAGTGTGTGTTTATATCTCTTATGCCACTTGGTTCTTCATTCTATAATTTTCAAAAATATATGTTAAAGCTATCTTCTTACCTTCTTAGATTGCAAAAGCTTCTTTTTCCCACAAGGCCTACATAATCAGAGCTGGTTCCTTCCAACAGGCTTCTTTGCACCTCATTAATTAGTAATCAGGGCAGAAGCCATGCACTTAGAGATCTACATATCTGCAAATGTAAATTATGATTGGGCTCTAAATCTCTCTGCAAGGTATTTTTTGCTAATTGTATTGCATCCCATTTTCAGACTTCTCCATGGACTCTAAAGTTCCGAAGGAAATTAAAACTTGGTATTGTGCTCCTTCAAATAGCATGGCCACCTTTGAAAATTAGCTAGAAGTACAGATGGAGCAAGGACCTGTTTGAAAAGGAGTGGTATTCTTACTACTGTAGAGGTGTCTAAACCAGTGTTTCTCAACCTGTGTGTCACAACCCAAAAGTGAGTCTCAAGAACATTTGAAAGGGTTGTAAGCAAGTCCCAGAAAAATGTGGGGAAGCATGAGTTTCTCCTTGAAAGCTGGCAGCGTTCCAGCCTGAAAGGAGCTGCTTGGGGCAATTGGAAGCAGCTGGCTTTACTTGCATACACATGTGGCTGGCATGCAGCCAGGCAGGGTTGTGGGAGCAGCCCCAGTAGCTGGATGCAGGCAAGTGTGTTGGGGGCAAGGGTTGGAGATCCAGGGTGTGTACTGGGGGGGCTGGTGGCACCCATACTCTCAGGGGCGGGGTGGTGAGAGACACTGCTGGGGGGGAAGGGGAGGAGGGGCCATAACCAGACTTTCTAGTGCAGTGTGGGAGTCCCAACTGAGATAGCGGGTGCCACAGACCTTTCTTCCTCCTCCCTCCAGCCCGTGCCAGGGCCAGACTCACTCTGTGGCCACCTGCATGAGCCACAGACACTGCAGTAACCACACTTCAGCCATAGCAGATGGGGGCAAAGAGCTGTGGGTTGCAAGAGAGGGGCACCAACATGCCACAGGGAGGCAGAGGACTGTAGGTTGGGAGTGAGGGCACTAGCAGGGCCAGGGGTCTGTGGCTTGGGAATGAGGGGTACCAGCAAGGGCAGGAGACTGTGGGTCAGGAGTGAGGGGCACTGGCAGGGCCAGGGGGATGCGGGTCCTGAGTGGGGGGCACTGGCAGGTCCAGGGAGCTATGGGTGGGGAGTGAGGGGTACCAGCAGGGCCAGGGGGCTGTGGGTCAGGACTGGCCATCAATATTTACAAATGGGTCCTGGTACTAAAAAGGTTGAGAACCACTCGTCTAAACTATTTAAGCTAGGAGTAATTTATTACCCTTGTTTGGATGTTCAGAAGAAAGGCCAAGTAGTATGAAAAGGTTTGTAGACACTAAACAGTACTAATAACATGAAAATCTGCCTCTGTTGAAATCAGTGAGTGTTTTGTCATGGCAGGACTTAGTGCCCAGTAATTATCGTGTTCTGCAAGGGTCATTTTTTCTGTTTAAGAGACCCTATGGACTAATAATATCTAACTTAATCCCATATGGACACTTTTATCAAGGTTCTCATGAGCAAATTGGAAACACAGAAACCCCAAATAGACTTGAAATGAAAAGTTATTTCACACCTGAAGTTCCTTCTTCCCCAAACAAGTTTAGAACAGTAGAATAATAGAATTGGAAGGGATCTAACATCCAATGCAAGATGAGATGTTTCTTAATCTTCTCAGACAGATGCTTACCCAGTATCTTGACAGACTCCAGTGAAGGACATTCAAATTTCCATGGACAGCTTGTCTTGTTGTCCTACTTCCTCTTCTTCCATATGGCTGACTTGGAGCAACAGTTATAAGTCCAGTTTAAGTTTGCTAACCAGTCTAATGCTCTTGAGGAAAGGAAATTTATCTCTGTAATGTCACCATCACCACATTTGTATAGGGGGCAGAGTGTTGCTTTGTGGTTCATAGTTTGATCAGGGTTGCCACAGTCACGTTCTGTAAAACTCCTTATACACCATCTGTGCATCAAGTGACCGCAGCGACCTTGCACACTTTGGGTCCGATATGGAACCTTCCATGGTTTTGGTGGAAGGTCAAAACCAGGCAGCTTTATTGTTGGGTTGGAAATCAGATGTTTATTCCAAATGGTGGTTTATTGCCACACTTTCCTCCAAACTGCTTCACCATCATGTCCTGCAATGGCTTGTACACGTGTCCACCAAGCTTTCCAGGAGACCATGCGGTGAGCTGGGAGGTTCTTTAAATCTCTATGGATGGGTAGGTCTCAATTGTCATTCATGCGGATGACCTCTCTATATGTGGCTTTATTCCAGCAAATGTTTGGAGGAGCAATATTGGCCAGCATTGATCTGGTGTAGATTTCAGGGTTCTGGTACAGCACGCATTGCAGAATTTAATTGTTGTTAACAGTTGAGCTACTATTCTTATATTAAGGATTTTTTTTCTGAGATTGGATCCAGATTGGCTTTGCTGCAGTTTAAACTCAGTGTCTTGTGCCCTGTTCTCTACAGAAAGAGAGAACAGTTGTTCTCCTCTTTTGGGGCAGCCTGTCCAATATTTGAAAACTACTCTCATGTCCCTCTCAATCTCCTTTCCCCCAAACTAAATAGACCTAGTTCTCTCAACCGTTCCTCAAGAAGCCCTCATTCCAGCCCCTTTATCATCACCGTTGTGTGCCTCTGGATCCTCTCCAGTTTCTCTACATTCTTCCAAAAATGCATACAATACTCCAGCTGAGGCCTAACCAATGCCAAGTAGAATAGTAATATCACCTTCTGTGTCTTACATGCAACGTTTCTGTTAATACAGCTCAGAATTATATTTCCTGATTTTTGCAACTGCATCACACTGATGACTCAGCTTGAGTCTATGACCCACCATATCCCCCAGATCCTTACTGCTTAACCCAGTGATTCTCAACCATGGTGCCATGGCACCCTGGGGTTTCATGACAGCATTTGAGGGATACCACTGGGAGAGAGGAGATAAGCCAGATAAGCTTGAAGAAACAAGTGCAAGCTCTTCTTTTCCAATCACTTCTCCCCCCAACTTATTGCAGTACAGGCTCTTCTCTGCCAGAAGCTCCTTCTCCCTTCCAGCCCCTCTTTAAGCTCTCTGAGCATTTGTACACATGCTCTAGGAGTGGGATCAATCATGACCCCCAAGTCCTTTTTGTCAGTAGTGCTAGCCAGCGTAGCACTGCCAAGCCTATGGTTTTTCCTCCCAAGGTGGAGAGTCTTGCATTTTTCAGTGTTAAACACTATCAGGTTCTCGTCTGCCCATTTGCTGAACCTGTCAAGGGCAGCCTGGATCGCCCGCCTGTCCTCAGGTGTAGACACTTTACCCCAAAGTTTGGTACTTGCTGAGTAACATGTTTGACAATCCCATTGAGCTGGTACTAGTTTAACCACTGGATTTCTAGAATCCAGTGTCCTGTAGCCCAACAGCACACAAGGGAATGACAAGCGAACTTCTCATCTAGCTGCATTTGATTTCCAGTGGAAATGACTTAATTATCTACTTACAGATGGGTTGACTTTGTCTGATCCAGAGTATGACTTATACTCGTGCTTCTGAAGATGAAGTGAGCCATCTCAACCACTCTGCCAACATGCCCCTACTAGAGAAATGAAGCATCCTTAAAGGAAGTTCCTTCTTTGAGAAGATGTAGTCTGCAGTACATTCTGCTTTTTAAGATTTGTAGAATTAATGATTACATATGGCCTTTAAGTTACTTGGGTGGTGGTTACCCATGTTAGTCAGAAATCAGGCAGAAGGGAGGGCAGGGTGGCAGAGATGAACTGGTTCAGAGAAGCATAAGCTTTTGTAGGAAATGACCGACTTTGTGAGATGCTAGTGTATTTCACATGACCCCAAAGTTCATCTGCTTACTGCTATGTTGAGCCCAATAACTTTTATGTTTAACCTGTTCTTTAGAAACAGAAGAAGCCTGAATTTGAAGGCTTTAAGAGGTATAAAATCCATTACTTCTGTTGGTAGTTTCTTCCCATAGTGAGTCACTCTTGCTCTTATAAATTTTGGTCTTATTCCAGAAAATTTGTACTTTCTGGCTCTAATGTAGAAAAATATTTAAACATGTACTTTAAGAGGTCAGTGGGAACAGTAAAGTGCTTAAGTTAAGCAAATATGTAGGTGTCTTGCTGGATCAGGCTGCATATACTTCCCAGAAAAATAAATGGGAGTTTAGAGCTGGGGTGCTTAATGTATTGGCCCTGCGGGCCTGGTGTGGGACTGATCTGCAGGCCAGATCAGACCTCACATGCCAGGATTGGGCCCATGTGGCCTCAGTTGGGCCCTAATTGCCAGGATCAGGCCCTGGGGTCCCACACCAATTCCACCCAGCCCACATGCTGGAACTGGGCCCTGTGCACCCGATCTAGCATACAGGGCCACATCTGTGGGGCAGCCCCATAGGATGAATGGACCATAGACCAATTCTGGCCTGTGAGTTCAGGAGTTGAATACTATTGGTTTAGGGCATAGATCCCATTTGTGTATGAAGAAGCCAATGAAATTCTCGTTTAAAGTATAAAGGAAATGGTACAACATTATCCTGTATTTAGTCTCGGATTCACTGAAAACTTGAAGAAATGGTTTTGAAATTCTAAGTGGAGAGACTTGCAGATTTGGAGGCAGTAATTAAATGCCATATGCCAGCACTAACACATAGAAAAGTTGTTAATTAATTCAGGCAGCTCTGGATCCAGGTGTGACTTTGACAGATTGTACACTAGGGTTTTTTGCAGGTTTACCAATAGGGATAAAAATTCGGCTCCCCCTGCCTCCCCTTCAGAATAGAAAATAAAATTATACTTAATTAACCATTTCTGGATTGGCTCAAAAGAAGAGGGCAGCTTCTTCTGTAAAAGATGGTCTTCTAAAACTCCCGAAAGAGGAGTCCGGTCACTTTTAAAGGAGCACCCGCCCCACACCCATCAATGTTTTGTCTTCAAAAAAATAAGTGTGGGAAAACAAATCAGAAGAGATTTTTTTTCACTATTTTAAGCCTGCCCCCCACTCACTCCTTTAATTTAAGCATGAGTTTTGTCATGGTTTGACTCCAAAGGCCATCACTTTGTGATAATATCTGAAAATGGACTGGAAACAGAGGCAAAAACTGTGTTACATTTCACCGTTGAGCAAACAGAGCACCTTATTTTGCATCAGGATCTGCACAGGGGGGTCCCTTCTCCAACTCCTGTGGGACTCCATGGTTACAGGGCTTCTCCGGTGAAGCTGGAGCTCCACACGTGAGTCCTACACATGCTGACCGGGCCAGGTTCAGCAGCTTTGTCCTGCTCCAGCAATGCAAAGCAGCTCTACAGCCCGCTTAACAGGCCTAGTATGTCCAATTGCGCCAGTGTGGCTATTGTAAGCAGATGCGAAGCAGCAGGCTGTAGCGTGGCCAGGGTCCAAAAGCTGACTGGGGGAGAAACTGTATGGTTTGGGTCACTCTTCTGGATTTTTGAACCGCTGCTCTCAATGACTGGGAGACCATTAAAGGATGGAATATGAACACGTGCATGCTTGTGAACGGTGCAAGCACAAGGGCTGGCCCTGGGCCTCCGCTGCCTCTGCTGCTTTGGGTTGCGGCAATGAGGTGAGGCAGCTGCTGCTAAGATCAGATGAAGAGAAACTTTGCCCAGCTGCATAAGGCTGCTTTGGGACCACTCAACCCAGAGCACATAAGGCATGAGGTACCGCGCACAGCTGCTACAGCAGCTTGCAGCACGCCCAGCACAGCAGCATCCAGTGGCCAAAGGTGGAAACGGCAGACCTCTCCGGCAAAGTTCCCGAGCTTGCCTACACTTTATCACAAGAACCTCTCAAATCTGCATTTGACCCACCTCCGTCCTTTCACTAGGTGGTTTTTATAATTTTTCTGTGAAAAAGTTAAGCGCCCCTTTTAGCATGGAATAATTGCAGTGGAACGGTTAAATTACCTAGCAAAAAACATGGAAGCAGCGTTAGACCCGGAGAAGGAGCTCCGATGTTTCTGGCTCCCGATCTCATGTAGAGAAGCAGAGCTCCTGCTTTTCTCTGCACCGAAGTGTGCATTGTTTCAAGTGTGCTCTTTTTAATGATATTGCTGGTTAGAACGGAGGTAAGGAGCCTATGCAATTTTAATATTGACATTGCCTCTTTAAATATTCATGACGTTAGGCCATCAGCCAATATAACATTGCCATTTTCTTCACTGGTTGGAAACAGCATTGGATGCAGGGCACGTCATCATGTCAATGTGGGGGGGGGTTTGTTCTCGGAGCCTTTTTTGTCGAAACCTGCATTTTTAAGACGTACCATACACAGAAGCCGGATGCTTAATTTACCATAAAATCACCCTCCAGCGGAAAACCTCCAATCATTTTAGTTAAATGGCATATTTGTAGGTTTACTTGTGCAACTGAGGGAGGCCAGTAGGGAGTTTGTCATCTGCTAGCATTTAGAAAAAGAAAACAAAGTCTTAGCTTTTTACTTTGGGGGCAAAGAAGTTAAAAGGGCTGGTTGCCAGAATAGGAGCTTTTGCTTTTCTGTTATGGTAAAGGAGGGAGGAGGACCTCAGTGTCCATGAAAGAGCCCTTATTTATCTTGTTTCTGACCTCCCCTCTTACAGTCACTTTTGACAGAGTCTTTGTCCAAGCAGGACTTTGTTCAAATGTGAGACCCTGTCACCGCACAGTTGCCAAACAGACTTGAGTCACTGTTGGTTTTTGGATGGGGAAGGGGGCTGGGAGTTGGAAAGTCTTGAGTTCTGACCCTGGCCCTGCACCTGACTCGCCAAACAGTCGCGGGCAAGACCGCAGCTTTTCTGTATCCCCATTTCTCCGTTGGTCAAATGGATGCCCATAATAGCAAAGCCTATAAAGAAACAGGAGAGAGAAAAGATGCTATTGCTACCAGGTTAAAAATGGTTAGAGAGCCCAGACAATCTTCAGGTTATTTACAGCCCCATCATCTTCTGCTGTGGTCAACCCATCTATAGCTCATAGCTGTAACAGGCTCATAGTATTTATTCATCATTTGTTAACTCTTCATGAACTCTCTCTAAATGCAAGCCTAATAGAAACTGGGAATGGAAGTGCTGAACAAGACACTTTCCTGAACGCTAAAGTGACACCGGTCTCCTCAAAGTCTTGAGGATGAGAGTCTAGATCCTAGAAATCAGCCGACAGGGCTATGCCAAGCAGAGTAAGGGACCCTCACTACAAATAAATGTGGTTTATTTTCCACCACATTTCTATGATCTTTTCAGGGAAACGTATTTGCTCTCCCTCTATAAAAAGCAGAATGTCTTCTTTTTTTTTCCCCAACTAGGAATAGATATTTAAAGAAAAGTACTCCAAACACCCCTGTGGTGATCAATAAAAATTAGCCTCTGGTTTTTACTGCTGAAATTATGTTAAATGCCCTAAAAGTATCAATGCATAAAACTAGTAAAATAATACTAATAAAATAGATGGATTTCTACTTTCTCAGCTGCAGTGTATTCTGTTTGGCAAATGCATGCTAATACAAGGGAGGTGGGTTGGGGAGCAAAGGAAGATTCGTATTTTGCAAGCACAAAATGAAAATACTTCATTACAAAAATAATTTGCACAATAATAGAAATAAATAAGTGCACCACAGATTCTCTGGAGTAAAGCTTCCCCTCTATCTTTGCTTCCCCACAAACTCTGACAGCCTGCTCATTAACAATGAATAGGATTTGCATGCCATTTCAAAACGAGAAGAAAGGAGAAGTGTATATAGCATATAATAAGCCCTTAGATTTTTTTTTTTTTAAATATAGATGAGATAATGAGTTCACTTTTTTTTTTTTTTAATGCTTCCAGGGCTGAGTTGTGCTGTTATGAACTATTTCATTTTTTTTATGCCTGTCTTCAGGTTTGAACCCTCGGTCTAAAGTTTGGTTAAGCTGCAGAGCCGGTACATATTTTCTGCTAGTGACCTAGTTTACTCGGGCTACAGTGACAATAGAGAAAGGAAATAATTTACGGATCGCTCAAGCAAACTGTCTTTTGTATTTCTTGCAAACTCAACATCATTTCCACTCAAAAGGGTTTGGCTCTTAGAAAGTAATATGCACTCGTCTTGTTAAAGTGCTGCCCTGAAACATGCCTTATGTCCCCTTGGAGAAGAGACTACTGTATAATTATGAGCAGAGAGGAGAGAATATGATGCATTATTCTTTCCAGAGCAGTTACTACAAACCTGCCTCTTTTGAGTGTTGTGTATTACAGCAGGTTGAAATTGAAAGCTAGCAGCCTTTCTGTATCAACACATTTCTGTAGAGTATTTTTCATTAATTCATTTTATTATATATCTATATCTATATATATTATATATATTAATATCAATATACTTTATATATTATATCTATATTATTATTATATATATGTAGATATAGATATACATATATTGATATGATAGCTATAGATAGAGATATATAGAGATAGAGAGAGATATTTCGATATATAAGGAAGGCGTGGACTATTACCTGTAGTGAGGATTTATGCAAAAATTTCTGCTCGCTGAGACAGGGTGCTGCCTCTTAACTATTATGATGGGATAAGGGATGCAGAATGACTTTAGTCATCGAATTAGTACATTAAACAATCACCACCAAAAAAAAAGGAGAAGGATAAAGAGGAGAAAGATTTGGGGGGTGGGGGGAGATTGTAAGTATAATGCATTTGCCTTAGGACTTGTCTTCAGTGACAGAGCCAGACTCACGTGAGCCTGGTTTGATGTGGTAATGAAGCATTGATCACAGGAAAAAAGATGAAATGGCCTTTGCTCATTCATTATTTTTATCTTCTAGCTGTGGAAGACAGAAAATTGTTCATAGGAATGGTTTCGAAGAAGTGTAATGAGAATGATATCAGGGTGATGTTTTCTCCATTTGGCCAGATAGAAGAATGCCGAATTCTTCGGGGACCTGACGGGCTGAGCAGAGGTGAGTGTGCAGTCTATAAAGTCTCTTTCCTTAAGTGCTAATTGGAGCTGTATGTCACAGGCAGGGTAGATGTAGCCACTGTCTACAGCTAGAGGTTATGCTGTAATATGCCCCACGTGATGAAGTTACCCACATGAACTTTTCACAGTGACTGAAATTATCAGCTTTTATTTTTAATGTCAGAAAGGTCTTGGTGCCAACATATTAACTTGTGTTATCACACTGTTTGTCAGATGGAAAGGTACCATTGCACCCTGATAAAACAATGCCCATTCTCCCTATCATGCAATCAAAGATTTTGCTTCCCCCTCCTTCTCCTTTGTACCAGAGGGGGGAAAAAATCAACCATTTAAGTGATAGGTTGAAGACATCTAGGGTCATGTGAACTGGCCCATCCTAGAGGAATAAACCCTCTATTCCCAAATTTCCTCTCAACCACACACAAAACAAGAAAGCTCTGTTGTGACTCAGGAATAGAGTCACAAAGGGGTTAACCGCTAGAGTTGTGTGCAATCAGAGCTTGCAAAGGGAGCTTTCATAGCTCACATCCCTAGGTCAAACCAGAGGTACAGCAGGAGCGCATCGCTCAGCCATGTGAAAGGCACAGAGTCTGGAGCGCGTACCAGATTATTATTTCAGTGTGTTGGAAGAAAAGTGCAGTGCAGACTTCGACAGCTGATTATCCCCTTTTAGCTATGCAACAGGCAGCATTTTGTATCTGAGAAAGGCTCTTGAAGATATATTAAAAAGAGAAGCAGACATATTGGTGACCCATGCTGCCTATTAAGTCATTGGTGTATGGATGTGACATTACTCTCTGAGCACAATCCTTCCCACCAGCTTATTGCCATATGGAGCTGTGTTGGGAAGAGGATCATGGCAAGCCCATCTGCCTTAGGGGAAAGATGCCATGCTCCAACTGACACACTTTAAAGGCACAGAGCGTAAAAATCAAGTGAAAAAAAAATGTGGGGTTGTAAAGAAACATATTATTTTAAAGAAACCAAAAATGAATTGTTTCTGGCTATTTTCTTTTTCTTCTAAATATGTAAAAAAAAGTACCTAGGAATCACAGTTTATGCATTTTATTACAATTTCAAATCACAGAAAATGTAAACAAATTCCGGGCGGGTCCAATTTCGGAAATATTCGGTTATCTTAAGCTCTGGAGTCTATAAAATTATGAGCAGCAGCTTGCAGTTTCGAGATGGTTATATGCAGCAATTTCTCAACTGGTTGTCGAGTCCAGCAGAAGAGGCGGGGACCTGAGGGCCAGCAAGGCGGCTCTCATGGTGGAAAGCATTGACCATATCATGTCCATGTAAATAAGAAATAAAAAATGCCCACTGAAAACATTCTCTGCCTGTGAATAGAAGACCACATATTCCATTCATGAGCCAAGCAGCACACATGCCTGAAATTGTACAGGCGAAGACACTGGCGCTATAGGCTTCATGGACAGGGAGGCAGCAGTCCATCCATGAGCAAGTAGCAGGCTTGTATTGCTTTTAACAACCTTAGTACCCAAAAAGTGAACTTCTAGAGTGTGCGTAAGCTTTTACATGCAAAGCCAAAAAAGTGTAGGATACCGAGTTAATTTTGCAAATCGCATTGTATCAAACAGTAAATATGAGTTGAGCCAGACCAAACCACTTACATTTCCAGTGGCAAGGGCATTCAATTGTGTCAGCACCATTGGGGATGAGGGGAGTGATGCTAGGTAATTATTTGAGTACTCAGAATGGATTATAAAATAGCAAAGCAAATGTTTTGAGTCTTATAAAATGTTTTGGCGCTTCAGCATGTCCCTATAGGGGAGTAACTGAATAGCCGTGCATTCATCTGCTTCTCTTCAATAGATATGAGCTTTCCTATTTTTATACATGTATGATCAGGAGGGCTAGTGGGAAAGGCTGGGATGGTGCGGTTTTATTCCCCAGGAGATGGCAATTACACTATCACAAAAGTTGAGATTTTAAGTCCCGTTACAAATTGATCAGGTGTAGCAATATAGCACGGTGATCAAAGAGCATTGTAGGTTAATATGCTGGGCTTTCACCTCTGGAGACTGAAGATCACATTCTAGATAGGTCACACACAAATAGATGTAGGAATGTATTGACTTAGCAGAGCTATAGACTCTCTAACGTTTGGGTTCATTTCTGACACAGTCGCACACAGTGGTATTATATCATGCCCTGATGTATCATGCCTTGTTAAACTTGAATTGCTTTCTACACCCATGTTCACACTTGAAAATGAGTTCAGCAGTGGCTGCCTAGTTTCCAGGCAGATGTTTATCAACTTCACAAAACCACCATGCCAAGAGAGAAGGCCAAGTGTTGGGAAAAGTGACTGGTATCACAAAACTGAATTGAAGGGTGCCAAGAGGGATCTTAGAGGAGACAGCATGCAACCAAACTCTGGTTCTTTCTAACTAGGAGAAAAAATTAATACAATTCAAACTTGAAACACGTTTAGATGTTCTATTGCAGGGATTTTCAACCTTTTTTAATAAGTGTACCCCCGGCAGGGTGGCAAACCAATGGATGCGGAGCGGTGGGGGGGGTGTTAACAGCCAGACATGAGAGGGAGGATGGGGTGGTGAGTGGCGGGACCTTTCAAAGTACCCCCAGGGGTACACATACCCCCAGTTGACAACCCCTGTTCTATTGGATTCCTATTTGGGTTTCTAATAAACTCCCCACTACCATACACACTCTTTTTTCCCCCCCTGTGTATGGCAACTGCCTTTTCAAATATTCAACCCTCACAGAGAGAGGCAGGATGAAGGAAGAACAGTCACATTCTTAGGAGAGCATGGTCCTCCCAATGCACATACGTTTGAGAGAGGACACTGCCCACAATGCAACAGAATGAAAATGCAGCCAACCCAACAGGCTCTGCTTGGCTATTTTAAACTGCTCTTCAACTACGTAATCATTGATGGCTTTAAAAATTAGCAAATCATGATACCGCAGAAATGAAGAGCAGGAAAAATATAGTCATTGACATTTAAGTAAGCTTTGGAGCTAAGTAAAATGCTTTGGGGAAGGAATTTTTATCATCAACAGATGAGAATTCCCAGTCACGAAAGATTGCCACTGACACGACTCTTTTGTAGAACAATTTGGTTCTGTACTACTGCTTTTTTCTTAGTAAATAAATGAAGCTTTCAATCAACTTTTGCCCCTGTTCACAGTAAGCTGGTCATACATTTGCCTCTCAGATGGCTGCATTAGACTATAAACATGTAGCGTGGACCTCTAATGGCAATGTACCATGTAGCCTGAGCAGGAACAAGTCTCCCCGTCCACAGCGGCATGGGAAGCTGTTACACTTTGATGAGTGTGATAGAAATGCTTAGATAAAGAGAGGGAGGGAGATGGATTGAACAGGTTGTTGTTAAAGTAGTGTCAAGCCAAGAGCAGATAGAGCTTTAATAAAGTCACACCCATTCATGTTGCTACAGATAAAGGTCTGTCAGCATTTCTGCTTCAAATTCCTATTGCCAGCTTTTAGAAAGCCATCTGTAAAACCAGCCTAAAACCATCGTATAAGGTCCCAGTTGTGGAGCAATATATTTTAAATACATTTTCTAAAACCTCTGTTTAACCACCTCCTATTGCCATTGTTCCTTTGCTCCTGCAGCTGAAAAAATGGCTTTATTTTACATCTGTAAGTGGTTTGATTTCCACACTAGTCCAGCAGGTAGGCTGCGGCCGTCAAATATTCCTTGCCATCTAATGTCCATTTGAAAGCCTTGGTAAAATTGCTTTTTGATATAGAGACATTCTGCATTTGAGATATGTCTGTTTAAAAATAAAAATAATGAACTGGCTGTCTCAGGGCTGAATAGAAATGAAGGCTGACCTACCATCCAGCTCAGGGTTTCTGAGACTGTAGTGAAGCTTAAAACTTCCTCTGAGCTAGGGACAGACATTCAAAAAGCCGGAGCCTGAATTGATTCAATATTTGCAGGTTAGTCTAGCCTGCCTAGATTGAACCAGTTTGCATGTGAACAGACATTCCCTCTGGACTAAGGAAATGCAGGGACATGCCTGCAGCCACTCAAGCCAAGAGCCAGGGGTGTCAGAGGGTGTCCCCAGCTGCAGGGAAGCTGTGCTGGGGGAGCATGGCCAGGCCGCAGCACTAGCCTGGAGTGAACTGGCCAGGGAGGGGTTTAATTCCCCCCTCCCTGTCTTACCAGCATTGATCAGAGCTACAGTCTGCTGGGCATACTGGAGAACGCAGCCACATGCTGGCCGGCATGGCCCCCTGAGGCAGAGAGGGGACCGCAGCTGGGGTCTGACCACCCCGACCACCGCCATTACCGATCACTCCCTGCGCGGAGCGAGTGGCAGGATAAGCTCCCTCCTGCCCCCTCCACGAAATGCTGGGAGGAGGAATAACCCCCCCTCGCCTAAGGGGGCCCCGCCAGGCAGCTTCTGGCCATGCCCCAGCCCTGCTGCTGGAGCGGCGAGCGGGGAGCAACCATGACGGGGGCTGCAGTCCCTCTCGTGGCGTCCTGGAGTATGAGCCTCTTCCCGGAGCGGGTGCTGCTCTGTGGGGCAGGGAAAGTGGCCACACTGTGTGAAGTTAGTGGCAGTGGTGCTGGGGTGGTTTGGGGGGCTATGGCCCCCTTTGAGCCCCGGTGCCATCATGTGCCCAGCGCCGTCCGCAGCAGCTCTGATCGCCTCACTCACAGCCGCCTGCCACGAAGAGGTTTGTGCTCCCCAAACACTATGGCAGGGGGTGCTGCCCCCAGCACGGTCCCTGCCCCCTTGCCACTCCAGTAGCAGGGCAGAAGTGTGGCCAAGGGCCAGCAGGCAGGCCCCCTAGGTGAGAGGGCAAAGTGGGGCGTTATTCCCCCCTCCCTCCAGCATCTGAAAGAGGGGGCAGGAGGGGGCTTATCCCTCCACTTGCCCTGCGCAGGGAGCGAGCGACAGTGGCAGTGATCAGTTGGAGCTGCCCATAACCCTGCCACTGGAGCAGCCAGT